TTCTCCTAGAGAACACACTTCTTCTCCCTGCTGTCTCTCACCAGGCACTCCAGCAGCTTGGACAGCAGCAGAAACACTCAACATGTCAATAAAAATGGGTTAGAATTCAAGGAACGTCCTTGCAATTACCGAGATAATTGCTACATTTCAGAACCAAACATTACTTAATGGCTCTCAATTATCTTGTGGCAGGGCCTGCAATGGCAGCAACTAATTGCTTAACTAAAGACTTTCTTCTTTCCACTCTGTGTCAACAGGCATGCATGCAATTAGGCCATTGGTGCAGGGAGGAGAGGAGATACCTATTGTGAAAAGAGGGGTTAAGTGGCAGCCATAGCCAGGTTCCAAAGCTCAGAGGACAGGTGTCTTGCCTCAGACTTTATAAGGATGTGAAGCAGAACCTCAAAAGCCCAGGAGGGAGCAAGGATACAGGCTCTTTCTTCCTGTCTCTGCACAAAGGCACAAAGACCCCAAATGATTAGACAGTGTGACTAGAGTCCCTCTTACAAGCCTATAGCCCCCCCAGGCTCAGATGCATGTCAGTAGCCTTTTCATAGTTTATCAGTCTGCAAAGTTCACAGACACTAACAAAGAGAAAAAAACAATCAACTGCCTAAAGGCTAACAGAAGACTTCCTTTTGGTTACTTTCAAGCTTGTTGAAAATCTACTTGTTAACCTCTTCACTGAGCACCTCTCTCACATGAAAGAGAAGCAAAGGGAAACTTCATTATTTGCCATTTCATCACTTTTTCACAATTCTCTCCTATCTTAAGAGCTCTCTTAAGCAGAGCCTTTCACTTTGCTTTGACACAGAACTATTCCCTGTCCCTTCTCCCTGGCTTTTTCAGCCTCTCCTCTACTTGAGGTGGAAACACAAGACCCCAGATCAGGCCAAGGCCCTTGTGAAAACATCAGCTCCAGGTTTCTATCCCTGACTGATCATGTTTAGTTTGTTCCTCTGACCAGACAGGGCTCACCACAGAGCCAGCCCCAGGCCTTGTGTCCTGAACATTGGTTACCCTGGATGCAAGGGCTGTGTTCAGCTCTGCTCATCCTTTCCAGACTCACATTTCTCAGACACAGATTCCCAAAGCTATTTTACTGATCAGTTACCAGCTCAGCTCCCTCCCTTTGAAGCCCCTCCTTGCTACTCTTAAGGACATTTTTTTTCCTACCATTCATCAGTTTCCACAGAAGCAGTAAACAAACTAGGGTTGACTGTCCAGCTCAGAGCCCCCCTTGGAGGCCCTCAGTTTGATGTAAAAGTGTCTGTTCTCACCCTGGTTTTGTATGCTTGTCTGTTTAACTTAGAGTTTACACTCATCCTTAAAGTTACTGAATAGTCCTGTGAAGATTTGAGACAAAGGCTTCAGGGCCCCAAATTTTAACTTTCAAATCTCCACTTTCCTCTTTGCTACATTAAGAGCTTTCACAAGCTAAAGGACACGGTCTCCTCTCCACAACACCACACTCGTTTGTCCTCATTTCTCCTCATGGTTTATGTCCTGTGTGTGCTCTTTGGACTCGTATTCCAGTTACAAGCCAAGAAAGGGGACAGGAGCCAGTGGGGTACTGAGACCTTGTGGACTCAGACTGGTCACTTAAAAGAATCATAACCCAGCAAGGGAATAGTTAACATTCCTGAAAACTGAGGCAGTTTCTTAGCACACAGTTCAGTTTGCTAACAACGCACCCTCTCCATTTTCACACGCGTGCACATGGGCTAATTGTTTCACAGGAGTAACCTCACCTGCAATTAGCCACTGTTTTAAGTCTTTGATCTCTGTAACTCTCCAGAGGACAGCAAAATTCCCACATGAAAGTGTTTTATTATTTTATTCCACATTTGGGAGTGACCAAATCTGCTCCTGGATTTATTAAAAAAAAAAAATTCCTTACCTGATCTCAGCGATTCCCATTGAGCTAAGCAAGGCTGTGGCAAGTGGAAAAGCTCCCTTTGGGGGATGACTCTCCCAGGTGTTAAGGAAGAGTGAGTGCAGCCCCCAGCTGATGGCCTTCACCTGCTCTCTGAGCAGACTGCTGCTCTGCCAGCATCAAAGCCATCCCGGAGATGGGCTTTCTGGGGACATGTCTTGTCTTGCTGATTCACTTCCTAGGGTAAATTTATTTCTTTGAGCTATTGTCCAATTCACAGTTAAGGATCAGCACATGCTGTTCCTTCCCAGGGAGCTTACCTTAACCAAGGGATAGGAGACATCTCTATCTGATCCTGTAGCACAGGCCAGAGGGTGCACACAGCTCCTGAAGACCTGGTTGCCAGATTTTGCCTGGCTGTTTTTCTAGGAAAAGGGATGGGGCAGAGCAGGTAGCTCAGAGGCCCAAGCCATAGGTCTGGTCCCAAAGAAAACAAAACGTCAGGGCCTCAAGGCTCTTAATTAACTCTATTAGAGTGATAATCGTGGCCTGCCCAACCCCAGGGGAATGGAAAAAACCCTCTAGTGTGAGATGCATATAGTGTGAGGTACTGGACTGAAACATGAATATTTTCACCTACTGTCAGCGGTTAGAAAGCAGTGGGGGGTGGGAGGATGGTGAAAATAAAGGATCCTCAGCTCAAGTTGATTCTGGTTTAGCACCAACACGTAGGAAACAACCTAGAAGTCAAAGAGATTTCTGTGAACCGTACTTGTGTTTTGCAGGGCTGCTTTCGAAACATCTGAAAATTTTAGACTATATCCTTTACAGTTCATTAGTGCACAGTAAAATATGCCCCTAACCACTTCCTTTTTGTCTTTTTTTTTTTTTTTTTTTAATTAGATGTGGCTTAAAAATAAATCTCTCACATTTCCTTGCAAAAGAGCAGATTGTACAAAGCTTTAAGACAGCCAGCACTGCTTCCATGCCTCTGTGCAAGAGCTGGGCTCCAGTGATGAGGCTCTTTTCATCTCACAGGGATTTGCTTCCAGAAACTGGTTCAAGGGAGCAGAAGAGGTGCCTGCTTCCCACAGCTATCAGAGTCCATTCAGTGGCTGGTACTGCAGCTTCCCAGAATCACTGAGTATGTGGAAGGGCCTCAGGAGGATATGAAAGGCCAGTTCCTGGCCCTGCACAGGATGGCCACAAGTTCTGTCACTTGGGAGCTTCATTCTCCCTCTTTGGATATAAAGAGCCCTTAGAGGAGTCAGGGCAAAGGCACCCCTCCTGAGTACCACTCCAGGGCTGGTGTGAAAGGAAACAACATCAGGCAGGCAGCAAGAGGCAAGAGCTACTCTTGTCACTCAAACTGTGTGGGTTTGGAGTTCCAGATGTAGCACCAGGAAGATGGATAATTAGAGCACCCTGGAATCCGCTTTAAATTATGAAATCAGCTTAACTTGCCTGCTGCATTTGGAAGGAAGAGAAGACTTCACACACCTTTTTTCATCTGAGTCTACAGTCCCAGCCAGTCAGTGGGATCAGCACAGCTTTTTCCCCTGCCTTATGGAGTTGTGGACCCCCAGCACATGCTGATAAAGGAGGTTTTAGAAGACAGCCCAAAATGCAGTGCTGTCAGGGTGCAGACCTAGTGGGCTCCTGCTTTTGGCAGCAGCTTCTCCTGCCAGCTGCCCACCAGTGCAGTGTTCTTGTGTTTAAGCACATGGCACACGAGTAGCACCAAATTCAAAAATCCTTCCCTCACTAGGCACCAGCTCAACCCATGGTGTCAGCCCTGGAATGTCTCTTTCATCTTCTTCAGTTGTAAAATCTACACTGTCAGCTCATCATTATAAAAGCCTCGTATCACAAAGTCTCTCTGAAGTGTGGTTTGCCCCAGCTATAAACCCCCCACCACCACAATCACAAATAATGTATACTCAAAATGATCAGTTAAAGGCTGGCTCTCCTTTCTTTCAGGCAATAACACTTCACCCTTTCAAACTTTTCTTTGTTAATCTGAGGGAGCTAGAATTTCACTTCGATGTTAGTGAATATTGAGATGAGGTCAGAGAAGTGCAAGTGGCTGACTGGCCCTGGCTTAATGCACAGCTATTCACCAGCTGAAGCACGGGCTCATCACCCTCCCACCCTGACCTGACAGCTCAGCTCAGCTGATGCTGCAGCCACTCTGCACCAGGAGAAGCATGTTACTGTCACAGCCTGGACCCTCTGTCACACTTCCAGAGCTGGCATGTTAAGGGGCAAAGGAAGGAAAGGGTAAGTAACACGAATTTCCCAATTAAAAATCACTGAGTGGTGACACTCAAACTCAGACTTTATTTTCGTCTTTAACCCCAAAAAGCCTCTGGGATATGAGCCCTTCTGCACTGGTGTTACTGTATCTCACTGAGGGCAGACCTCGTCAGCCATTTCATCATCTCCTTTCGTCTCACAGGCCCCTGACCTTCCCCTGTGACTGGAAGAAGTCGGAAAATCACGGTCTCTGCTGCCCTGGTACCTGCGGGTAGCATTCAATAACAGGTGCTGCGAGCACAGGGCTGCTCCTGCCCTGACCCTCCTGCCAGAAGACTGTCAGGCAGCTGCTGTCTAAACTGTACCCTGCTTAACAGAGGACAGTGCTTGCCTTTTTTTTCCCCCTCCTACTCCACTTGGAGCTCTTATTTCTCACCTCCCACTGCCACACTTATCAGAGAATATATCCACCTCTAGCTCAACATCCCTTTCCTCTGACTGGAAAGTCACTGATGATGGGGGTGGAGGTGGCAGCTTGTTCTCAGCTCATTAATCTATCACAAACCTCTGCAGCAGGCTAGCTGCCTCCAGCCCTGATTAATTTTCAAGCACAAAGGATGTTTGTATTTGGATATGGATATTGGATATGGATATGCTGAATAAATGATTCCAAGCTGTGAATTTCATTTCATCACTAATCACAGACATGGGTTGAAATCCTGTGCATGAAGTCGACAAGTGAACTTCAATAGACCTCCATGGCAAGGTCAGGGAGACTGGTCACCCTGAAACAAATAATAATGTAAATTAGATCAAAAGGGTGCATAGGAAGGGGATATGCAAGAAGAGATCATTCACATCACCCTTATCTTTACTCCTGGTCCGTGGATTCACGTAGGAAGGGGATATTTCTTCCTCTATCTCTAGTAGCTGTGAAACAGAAGCACATCATTAAGGATCCTCACAGTCCCGGCTCAGATAAACCCCAGAGGCTTCTAAACCAGCCCCAAGGTGCTCTTATAACATCAGTCAGACCTTTCAGCTTTACTGGTAGCTTTGACATCCCTGTGGATAAGGGATGCTTCTCCTCTGGGCACAGAGAAATCTCTGCCTACCTCCAGCAGAAAGCTTTCCCATGGGGCTCTCGCCATCCCTCGAAGTGTCACTGCAGGGCTTAGGGCACAGTCTCAGCACTGTTCATTCTCCAGCAGAGGAAATGACTCAGACTCCCTTTAAAAGGACATAAAGGGTCCCCCCTCCAAACTGGTAGATCAGTCAGGTGCTGAACATGGAGCTCCTCACAGAAATCAGGAGAAGCAAAAAACCCATTTATTTTCTTATTATTTTTTCTTAAATGCTAGTGATTGTGTGGTAGGGTTTAGATTTTTTTTCACAAAGACTCCAAATCCCAAAGTCAGACCAGGGAAATCAGTTACAGATTTCAGAAAGTTTCTCTCAGCACCTCTACTGTGCTCAGGCAGGCTGGAGTGAGAGCTGTTCAGTCCTGCATGAAATCAGCTGGCAGTTCTCAGCCCAGCCCGGTAGTACAGCATCCTCTTGAACAAAGCCCCTATATCACACATAAATCACACAGGAGAGACAGGGGAGAAAGAAAAGGGAGGTGAACAGGTGACAGGGGGAATAGAGAAGAGAGCAGGACACACAATCATGACATGTTACTAGCTCAGCAACGCACATCTGCACTTCACAGCTTGTGCTCTGTGCCCTGGAGCTGCTGAATGGCTTCTCCCACTGCTGTGCCATGATGTGCCAAGTCCTTGTCTGGGCATTTTGGGGCCAGGAGGAAACTTTTAGGGAAAAGCTGCTCAGCATTAACTGTGCTCAGCAGGGCAGCCTGGGCACTGCCTCCCTGAATGAATGATGAATGGCCTCAGCACTGCAATCTCTACAAAAATGCACTTGCCTGAATCTCTCCAGGGCACCTCACTGGCCTCCAGAGCCTAATTCCTGAAATTAGGTAGGGCAGAGGTTTTTGGTTTCCAAACCAGACAATGTGCTGGAGAGTGGCCAGAGGCTGTGGGTACACCGAGCGAGGGTGGGGTAATTTGGGGGGAAGCTTTCTGCCTACAGGGAGAGCAGGATGCGTGAGAGCAGGTCTGCAGCTCTCAGCTGGAGCAAAAATTACCGGCAGATTATCATCTCGATAGCAAGATTCAGAGCAAGGAGGGCCAGGCCAGGTGAGTCACCCTGCTGCTGCTGCCAGTCCTTGGGGCTGCTGATGCCTGTGATAACCCAGTGATCACGGAGTGGGGACCCACAGGGAGATTGCCAGGTTAGGTATGGAGCTGGGCACTCTGGAATGTCAGCAGCTGCTGCCTGTGCCCCTTTGCAGCACCAGATGCTGCAGAGGACAGAGCACAGGGCCTGAGACATGCCAGCTTTTGCCACTCGTTACTCACATGGGCTGCACCCTGAGCACAGTGCAGGCAGTCCTAGCCCAGGAATTGGGTGCTGGAGCAGATTCTGCTCCACTGCAAGCTCCTTCACTGGGGCACACATGAGGAGCTGAACAGCTCCCAACCCCAACACGGCAACAGCTGAAACTGCCTCACTGAGCTATGGTCGAGCCTCAGGGACTAAAACCCATGGCAAATCCAGACCAAAGATCTTAAAGAACTAAAGCAGAAGGAAATAAATTCCCCAAAACAAGAAACAGCCTCTCTGGTTTGTCTTCAAGAACACCAGGCCCTGATAAGACAGGAAGGCCTGGGCTCTGCTGTCTTCAGTCATTTGCCACAGGATATGAATGAGCTCAGATACTTGTGCTTTGCTTCAGAGTTTACATATCCAGCACCTCACCCATCCCAGCAGATAGTGTCACATCAGGTATAGTTTTGACACTGTGGTCTCTTACCTTCAGTGCAGGTCTAAATAGAACTGGGATGGGCTCCCAGACAGTCCTGCTCAGTCTGTTAGCCAGGGATCACATCGCACCAGAGCGTGTGGAGAGGCCCTTGACACCAAAATGTTTTGACAATCAAACATCCCCAGGCAACTCTAGGCATTGAGCACTGCTGATGCACGGGGAGCCAAAGCAGCTTTGAGCTGTTCAGAGCAACACAGACACAGAGAGCTCAGCAAATCCTTCCTGAGAAGTGGTGTGAACCCTTGGGTTACTGCTGCACACAAAGCCAGCTGTCCTCTGCACACCCAGTGCCACCTGTGCTGGTGAGCCTGATGGGAGCCCCAGTCTGGGCCAGCTGAGATTCTGGTGCACTCTGGTGCTGCTGACTGCTTGGTTTTCAGGAGCCACATACACCCTACAGAGCACAGGAAAGCCATCACCCTCCACAAGCCCTTCCACATGGCCAGCCCTGCACCCACCAGCCCACCCCACAGCAGGGAGAAACAGAGATTGCAGGTGCTGCTGAGCAGTCCCTGCAGGCATGAGGCTCCACAGACTCACCACTGTAACCAGCAAGGATGGAGAGCTCAGACTCCCTGTCTGACACTACTGCAGCTCCTGCTTAAGAGCAGAGATAGTGTCTGGCCCTGCTTTGCATTGGGGTCTCTCTCCCATGGATGCACCCTGAGACCAAACACATCATCCTCTTGCTGGGGCTCGCATCTTCCTTTTGCTCCAGGTGGAAATGGTGACTGGATGTGATGAGGTGCTACTTGGCCTGAAAAAATCTTTAGATGTTGCAATTTGTTGCCCAGGGGCTGCAGCTGGACTAGATTAGATTTCGCTGGGCTAACCAGAGAGATTTTTGCTGGGTTTCTCCAGCACCAAGCTAACCACAAATCATGAAGCAGGAAGAAAAAATGTTCACATCTGAAATGCTTTCTCACCGAGCAAGTCCAATTAACAAAAAGTCCCATGAGGTCAAAAGAAAAGTGAAAAGTATTCATTGGGGTCAGAGGTTGCACAGTGCACTGAGTATTGAAATTATTCATCCTGCTGCAGTCCAGCTACAAGATTTCCTGTTTGTTTTGCCCTAATTTTTGGGTGTTTTACAGTGATTGGAATGATAAATTAAACTCTTACAGTAGAAAATAGCTGGTGGTGATGGAGGTGGGGTAATTTCAAGAGTTAACTGTGACAGAACAATGGGAGGAACATTATGGTCTTATTTTGGTTTAAATTTGGAGACAAAAGTACAATTCTGTCCTTATTTTATTAAAATGGCTTGTTCAGCTCAAGAACGTAGTTTTCATCCCTATTTCCCCTGCTGCACAGTGGAATATGATGCCATGCACTCTGCTTGTCATAGCTCAGATCCTGTCTTACATTTCTGTAATGCCTTGCGTGCTGGAGAGCCTTGGCATGCTTCACAAAGTGCTGTATGCATGGCCAGAATCAGACATGCAGCCACTTCTGGGGTGGAAAGCAGCAAGAACTGCGTGTGCTGCACTCTGGGGAATAAGATTCTGTCCCGGAAGAGATGCTTTTGCATAGCAAGTCATTAACATCAATCTCTGAACACCCAGCAGGCTCCTGGCTACAAGTTTAGCTGCATCTCAAGGACTGGAAATTTTACTGCTGGGATGTGAACCTGTAGTTCCAGGCAATCTATTTCTGCATAACCTGCTAGGCTGTCAGTAGCTGTTTTCATCACTTACATCCACTATAGAACAATAATAGATAAATATCAGTGTAGATCTCAGCCTCCTTCCCCTTTTGGAAGGGGTTATGTCTTCTCAAAGGATGCTTTTGAGAAAGGAACTAACACCAGGTAGAAAAGGAGTCAAGTTTCCAGAAAAGAGTCATCTCTTTCCCACCTCTCATCGTCTGCATGTCTCTGTTCTCACTGCCCCACAATGCAAGAAGGAGGCACACCCTGATGTCTGGGAAGGCAAAGGTGGAGAAGGAGGAAGGACATGGCCTAGGCTGTGATTCTCAGTGAGCTGCATTTGCTGCAGAGATTGAGGAGTGCAGTAAAGTTGTGACACAGGTTTTGTTCTCCCTGTGCCTTCTGCAGCCCTCAGGGTCCTGCACATCCCTCCCTGGGATGAAGAGAGAGCAGTGTGACAACACAATTGACTATCACAGTCAGAGTTTGGTGCCTGGAGCTGGCATGTCCCCACTGAACACCCCTCAATTCAGGCTCCCAATCCTACTCCCATATCAAAAGCCAGATTCCAGACATCCTGCAGCTTCTGTGACACCTACCTGGAGCCATTTGCCATAGCCTACCTGCTCACCTCTGTCCCTTTTCCCAAAAGCCCGGATGCCAAAAGTGTGTCCTGGTGGTCAGAGAGAGGTTCCAGCAGGGTCCCTGTTGAGGTACCTGCTTGTTGCCTTCCAGAACTGGGGAAGGAACCAGTGAAAAGGCAGGTGGTGCTTAGCAGATTGGAAGTTGACCAAGGGCACCTGTGACTTGGCCACAGTGCTGCTACCAGCTCAACTGGGTATGAATTTACTTGTATTGATTTTAAACAGGCCTAAAATCTGGCAATTGTTAAGGAAGGAGAAAGACAGGAAGAAAATTCCTTTTTTCATGCCAGCCTTTTTTAATGTCATCCTGGTGCAACATGAGGAGAATGATGCCCCTTTCTTCCTGCACACTGAGGAGGTACAGAGGGAAGTACAGTGCCTGTGCCCTGAGCACTGCCTGAGGCACTGGCTGGCAGCTGAAGAAGACCTGGTTTGCAGCCACATACCCAAGTGCTGTGGTGTGTGTCCTACCTCAGCCTGAATCACAGCTGCCAGAGGGAACAAACACCTAGGCTTGCAGGGAATGCTGCCCTGGCTGCACCCAGCTCCTCGTGCTCAGGAAACCACAGCCCTGGGTATGGTGTAGCTGAAACTCGAGTGAGTGTCTTTAAGCAGTGGTTGGCTATAAAATGGTATTTAACATACTGAAAAAATCAATTGCTGCTGACACACAGTAGCCCTGAGCCAGCTGATCCATCCCTGGTTCCCAGTAGCCATGAGGACAGAACAAACTCCCAAAGCAATCAGCTGAATATTCTGCAGGCAGGGCAGGGTGTTGGGTACCCTGCTACAGTTTGCTGGAATGTTAACTTAATTTCCTAAGCTTTGATGTAGGAATGAGAGGCCACTGGTGAGCCCATGTACCAGCCTGCCTGTATAAGGTGCTGTGGCTGAACAGGGCTGAGGCTTCACCTCCAAAGCCAGCTTCTGGATAATGAGCTTGAAATCAGCAAGCAGAACGAAATCAAACTCATTCCAGGCTCTGCCTTTCCTTGCCACCATGCACCATCCCAGATGCTTCCTGTTCCTCAAGAGCATCTTCCACCTTGAGACATTTGAGAGAGTGTTTCCCTTTATCTCAAAAAACAGCAAGTGGGGCAGAGAGAAAACAAAGCTCTGGTATCTCAGAGCCACATCTCGGCCTTGTGTATTTTTGTGCAGTGCCAAAAACCATCGGGGTGGGCAGCCTGGGATAGCCGCTTTCTCCAGCCATGACTCTTCTCCCTGACCGTGGGCAAATGCAGCTCTGCTTTGGGCCAGCAGCTCCTACCAGCCTCCAACGTCATTTGTTCCATCACCTGGACCTGTTGTTGTCAAATGTGCAAGGGGCCAAGGGATATATTTGTTGATAGTATGTATGTTGGTTACTACCAGGATTGCAGTTTTAAGGATTTTCCACATATCGTGTGTCCTGTGTCTGTCCACGTTGCAGTGCAGTGACCCAGACACAACACTGACAGCTGCAGGGTAAATAAATAAAAACAGAGTATTTTGATCTTGGAAGGGGAGGTGGTTTGGAGGGGAAGGGGGGGCCAGGGTGTCAGCAGCCAGAACAGGGTGGCCACAGCTGTGATGGGAACAGATGCGGCACAGGGAGCGGGAGCAGGGAATAGAGTTCTGCAAATGCAAGCAATGCTGGAGAGTCTTGGAGAATGGCACGCATATTTGGGACAGGTGGGAAGTGTTTACATTGAAATAAGAAGGATGATGGCTCAACAGAATGCTGGTCATGTTACCTGTGACCCAAACTGACCGGCCACAGCTCTCATGGGCCCAGAACATCTGAGACCATCATTTCTTTGTCACAGCAGGGCCCACTGAATTCATGTAGGGTCCTATGCAGTGGAAGGGATGATGCTGCTTGGGACTGTTTTGTCCCTCTCCCAAGCAAGCTGATGTTGCCTCTTAGCCAGCCTTTATTCCAGACTAGCTTGTGGTGGGTTTCTGCAGGATCCCTGTGCAAGCCTTGAACCAGGCAGGTACAAGGCAGTATGGAGACCTGAGCCAGCAAACCTGCCAGTGTGGTCTCTGGCACAGCTGGAGCACAGCTGGCAGTGCCCAAGGACACATATCTGACTCATCCCAAACAGCAGCTCTGCCGTGGCTGGGTCCCAGGCTGGTTACATTGGTTTATTGCCTTTGGTGCTCGGTTTTTGTTTTGGTTGTTTTGTTTGTGTTTGTTTGGTTGGTTGTTCTTTTGTAAGTCTAGCAGAAGCTGTTTCTCAACCGATGTTCAAATGATGAAACAACTGGAGTTGCACACCTTTCAAATTCTCAGAAGCAGCCCAGCTGCCAGGAGGAGCTCAGTGAGGCTCTTGCAAAGCAGGTAACGTGCTGCAGTCTGCTGCCTGACTGAAGTGGCATTTGGGTACAAAGCAGTTGTGCTCTGTGCTGATGGTCCTTGCAGGAGGGTGTGGGCCTTGTTGCAGAGGATCTTTGCAATGCTTCACTGAATTTCCTCCATCCAGGGGACTCATCACAACCAGTGATGTGAACATCCTTCTTCTGGCCCTTTTTACCCTTTCTATAGAACATTAAGGTCTGGATTTGTCAAGAATCCAGAGGCACATGTGTCCCCATTTAAAATTAGTGGAGGGCTGAGAACCCGTCTCCCTAAGGTGTTCCTGAAAGCCCAGATAAAGGGGTTTAGCTGAGCCCAGCAAGGGAGGACAGCATGGGTCTGTCACACCTGCATTACCCAAGGGTGGCATGGAGACTTGTCCAAGATCATTTTATGTGGTGCACTGGAGAACAGAGGCCAGAGGATCCATCTCATAAGCCTCCAGTCTGCCTCCAAGCTTCCCTGTTGCTCCTGGCTGCTTGCTGACTCGCATGTCCCATGGGAGAAGAAATCCTTCTGACTGCAGATATGTCACAAGAGGATGCTTAAAGGCAGCTTGCAAGAAAGTCTGAGCATTTCTAATCAAGTTGGAGGAAGGCTCACAAACACAGAGTCATGTTGAGAGACATTCCCTGCATTTACTCACACCCTAGCCCCTAGATAAAAATGGCTTTGTATGTTAAGTTTAGGACCACAGAAAGCCCAGTGGATAGCAAGGGATTATCACAAAAGGGCAGCAAGGCAGTCAAAAAGAGCCTGAGGGACATTTTGTACGATTTCCATGAAGAGAATAATTAATTCAAACTGTATACACACAGCTCTGTGAGTGTCCACTCTTGAGATGTTCAAAGAGTCCTTTGCTGCTTTGGGCTCACTTTAAATGGAGTGCCCTAAAAAAACACTGCAGCTATGCATTTCTTTCCAGTTATACAGAATGCTTGAATGCCAAGGGATCAGGAAAGACTTTGTTATTAAAGAGCTGCAAGACTTTAACAAGGTACATAGTCACCAGAAAATGTTGAGTCATGAAAATACTCTCAATAATTTGAAATTAATGTTTAGTGTGTGCTGTACCATAAAAATGCTTAG